GTGTCACCAACTGATTGTGAAGATGTTCCTATTGTATAGAATAATCTTTTCAAGCCTTTACGAGAACGAAATGGGCCTAAAGCTACTATCCACGGGCAGTAAGGGCGCTACTAACAAGGCTTTTGTATGTTTTTTTAGCAGATTCATTAGTTTCAAACACCTCAAAGTGGTATCCGTACTGGCTTTTATGAGAAAACGCATACCAAACAGCTACAACCGTAGAGGAGGAAGGAAAAACGATGTCATTGCAGAAGTGGTGAATTCTGCAGCAGTCTAACAAATGGGAAATTATTAACAATGCGATCCTTAGTAAAAGACGGAAAGCTACTCCTTTCTAGTAAAATTCGCAACAACCATTGGAAACTAATTTAAATTTAGTTAGGCAACTAACATTGAATAAGGCACAGCGCGCTCATTTAAACCATTCTAATTGTTCTTTAAAACTACAAACTACACCTACTTTGACGGTATTTCGGCACAGCTTGATGGTGATCACATCAGCGATCAAATTAGCTCGCTCTTTTTCGTTGATAGCGGTGGGTGCTACAGAAGAAATCTGCGATGTCATGCTCGGCAGTTCCAGGACTCTGATCTCCCTAATTTCGCGATTTGATAAGTCAGGAAACGCCATCAAAAGTCGCTGTCCCCGCTGAAAGCTGTGCAGCGCGAAGTCGAGAAAAGCGAGGTAGTAGGCGCAAAGCTGAAACAATGTGGTTTTCGGACCAGTGAGCTTTTGTTGTCCCTCAATGACAACATTTAGGTTTGCCTGGATTGCTGTCACTTCGGTCATCAGAACGCCCCGCTGTTGAACCCATCGATGTCGTAGGCCGCTAGAGTCGTCCTCCGTACCTATGGCGTGGCAAGTATGATTGTAACTCGCGAGGAGGGAGCTCAATCGCGGCCGTATTCTTAGGAGGTAGACCACAGCCTGCTGCATTAGTGAAATGGCGATGCAGGGCAAATGCATTATTGTTGTAGTACCCGGTAATTGCGATTGGTTGTTATGCGATCTGTTTATGGAGATTTGCCAGGGTGTGACAGCAAAAATAAAGAATCAATTAATCACGGTGCATTTTAAGGCGATGTTTGTTGTCAAATCAGACTTCAATGCTGGACTGACCCATGACAGCACTTCTCGACCTGCTAAGACTTATTCATTGTAAAATTTACACACACCCTAGTCTGCAACTCACGGCAAATTCCCGCTTGTCAAGCATTAAATGCTTCACATTTATTTTTAATTCGCTTCATACCTACTGCTCACTAGTAATCTTCTCCTTCCCTAACCAGAAGAAATAAGAATAAAGCTTCGTGTTTACGACCATTATTTGAAGTTCTCCAAATAAATTTCAATTATTCTTAGTTTTAGACTGAACCAGAAGCTAAACACGAGATTCTTTTTACTTGTCAATTTTGTTGGCACCTTCTTGTTCCACATGTCTGGCCGACAGTTCTACAAGTTCACGGCGGTTCTGCTTTGCTGGCTTACGAAGGCTGCGGTTTGAAGAAATGAGGAATATGACAAATCATGCTACGAACGGTAAGCATTTTGGATTTTGGTAAAAGTCTTGGGCCATGGTATCAAAGTGGTGCACTGGTCAAATTGTAGTCTCTAATGTCAATTCTTTCACTGCAAACTTGGACGGTGCTTCATTTCAACTTCCTCCCACAGTCCATTCGACCACACTCCATCGCTCCACTTAGTGAAACAGGAATGATGACTTC